GCGGGGCAGGTGCCAGCCTCCCCTATGAGTGGGCGGGGCCAGTGACTGTGGGGTGCCCTGCCCACTGAGGGTCTGCATTTGGGGTCAGGGCAGGCAGCTTACCCCTTGAGCCTCACGTCAGGGAGATGGGATCCCACCCTGGGCGGGTGGCCCCCTCGGCTACTGATGACCTGGCCCCCCGGTGGGCACCGATCTCCCTGAGCCTCCGTTCCCACACCCACCAGGCTCAGTCTGTGCTGGGGACAGGGCCCCCCAAACACACACACGCACACACAACGGAGGCCCTCACTCCTTCCCCAGCACAGATCCCCTCCCCACCCACCCACATGGCCAGCATCTGGGCCTGGTCCCCAGGAACGGCTCCTACGGGGACCCGGCCGGAAGGAGGGCAGTGGTCAGTGCTGAGAGGCAGGCCCTGCCCTGAGAGGGGTCAGTTGTGTCATCTCACCTGGACGCCCAGGCTTGGCCAAGTCTGCCTGGAAAGCCGCGGCTGCAAGTCACGAGCTGGGGCTCAGGCAGACGCCCCGTCAGAGGCCCACGAGGTACCCGGAGCCTCACCCCCGGCACCAGCCGGGGTCGGGGATGGACAGGGCTCTGTGGGCAGGTGCCAGGCTTGGCTGCCATCTTCCCGCCACAGTGCCCGTGGCTGCGGCTCACAAGGGCAGGCGATGACCCTCAGCCCCTGCTGTCCAGCCTCCCCTGCCCCCTCGGGGCCCAGCCTGCCGCTCCGTCTCCTTTGGGTGCTGCTGTTGCTCGCACAGGGTGCTGGGCCCTCTGGGGTCTGCGTGCCTGGAGGCGGGGTGGGGGGTGCCCAGGCTCCCGCAGGGTTACCTCCCCTTTCCGAGAAGCTTTGGCCCCAAAAGTTGCCAAGGTTTCGTTTCAGGGGCTGCATCGGAGCGAAGGAGGTGAGCGGGCCGACTGCCGGTCAGTTTCCGATCCGGGCCGGCCTCTCTCTTCCTGGAAGCTGGCGGCCCATGGCCTCTGGGTGAGGAGGCGGGAGGGGGCCAGCTGGGAGCCAGCCACTCGGAGGTCAGGCCCCGCAGGTGATGACGCGATG